ATAAAAATATTAATAAGGTATAATACAAAATAATACACCCGAAAAATGATATACAATCGACTAATTTGAAAACTAACCTACCGTTAGCTCGTTGCTTACAAACATTCAAATGTAATTAGGATAACATTCACGTAAACACAATATGTTTCCATGGTAACGAGCTTGTTTTGTCATTGTATACGTATTGCATAGAGGTAATTTCCTTCTACAAACATCCCTATTCGTTGCTTGTTTTCATCGAAATTTTTATTCAGAATATTTGAAAGAGTTCGAAAACATGAAACATGCACTTTAGTTAGTTCAAAAAACTATGATATTAAAATATGATAAACTTTTTTAGACTCCCTCAAAAAAATAGATTCGAATATAAAAAATCATGTTTAAAAAGGTTAGATTCGAAATGAGTTTTGACTATATCAAAAGAATGTACATCTCACAAATTAGTACATTACGCAAATAAACTTGCACTCTAGAAAATTGAAAAAAGGCGAACTTATTGTCACCTCAAAATGATTGAAGCACTTAAACGTCATTTGTTTTTGTGTGTGCGTGTGTACCACGTTACCTCTATGGTAGCCAGGTGGCCTCTTTTTCAACGGCCTTGCTTGCACTCATCATCAACACTCAATGTTTTGTATACTGCCAACAAAACTCATGATTCATGATAGTTGGTGATGGTGGAATAGTAGTCGTGATTTTGCAATATGCAAGTCTATCTGTTAGAAAATAAGTTCGTTTTAACCGTTTATTATCAACGTCGGTGATAAAAAATGTAAAGATTTAAAAATATTATATTTACTTACGTCTCGTGCGAATTAATATGACGCAAAAGTCTGTTGAAATTGAAACGGGTTTTGATTTTTATTAACATTTTCTTTCCAAAAAAGTCCTTTATAATATTTTTGATAAAGTAACGCCTAACATTTACAAATATTATGTTTAAATGCGAAACTTCCTTTCTAAACTGTTTATACTAACTGTTATGGTAACAAGTCGATGTTAAGAGGATACTTTAGCCAAATAGCTGATAACACCAAAGGTCCACACATCGTGGACTGCATTGTAACAACTAACGACTGCTGAAGTGCGCCATCGTTTTTGGCGAAGAGGGCTCCCGAAAATGAAGGCGCGTTTTAGCTGCAATAAACACAACAAAACATAGGGGTGTTCCTTCTCGAAGGTTACAGATTAATAATTCAAAATGTTCTCATTAGACAAGCAATGCTTGCATAGTACTATATTATTTAGAAAGACTTTGTCATATCGTCGGGGATAGAGCTAAGCCACAGAACTATCATTGCATAGTACAGCGTATCTGACAAATGTAGGTAATTCAAGTTTTCGCGTAATTTACCGCAACATCCAGCTTGGCTGTCACCGCCTTAACACGAGCTCATTTCAACTCATCATCGTCATTATCATAAAATGTGTGAATGTGTTATGAATATACAACGGTAAGTAATATTTTAATATCATTCCTAATGGTTTATTTATCTTTATTATATTTCTAAGAGAACATAAATTTTATTTATTACAATAAATTCTAGTTAGATTTGTTTTCCTTTATAGTTTAAAGTAGGTAGTATTGTTAATGATATAATAATTATTAGATAGTTTTAAGTATATTCGAATGATTATTGTTTTTGATTATTTTTATTCGTTTTTGTTCTTTTTTATTGGGGATAGGAAGGATCCATAGAGCGCAACTTATAGTACGACCCTTATATACTTCCTAAGCTTCTACTACATTTATATACCAGCTCATACAAGCACGGAGGCTTAGGCTGCTTAAGCATTGCATTGTAAATGTAAATCGATGATAAATTCACAACATTGTTGATATGTATAAAAAACACTGTAAACGCACATTTTAGTGAAAATAAATTAAAAATAGCATATATCTAGTTAAAGAAACTGAGGACCTCGACAACATTACAGTTTTTGGACACGGAATACGCCCCGTGCAAATGAAATCGAAAGGGTTTAAAAAAAATACTTGTTGATTTAATTTGTATTGATAAGATTTGAAATAAATAATAAATAGGTCGCAAGTGTAACCGAACCTTAAATAAAATAGTAATGGTTGTATGTAAGGTAGGCGGGGCTAGCAGAAAGGCGGGCTCCAATAGAGAGAATGCATTGGGCGGATGTAAATACAATTATCCTTTAAATACAGGAATTAAAGTGCTGCATCTGTAGCGGCACCTGCCCAGTCGTCAGTTCGTGTTGGACCTCCACGGAGCTCACTCGTCGACTAACAGTCAGCCCTCATCCGCGACTTGAAACCTCCAAGTGCATAAAAAATTCAACTCTAAAATTCAAAGTCATAAAGTAACTTCAAGTGCTGAAGATAATTTTCTGAACTTTTCCTACAAGTGACACTGAAATAAAGTGACAAAAAACTTTCTAAAACTAACTTTTTTCGTGTAATTGTTGTGTATTAAGTAATTTAAGCAAAATGTACGACCCTGCATCCGATGCCGGTATGGACGGTATGGACGTTGGTGATCCGTAAGTATACTTTTTATAATTTTGATACGACATATAATTTTAATATGTTCAATATTAATATTGTTGTTGTATTTGTTTTAGGTTTGGTATTATCGGCCAGCTGATGATGGCCTGCATGTCTGGCAGTAAGTTACTTAATTTATCAATTCATTTATGCATCAGTGATTCAAAATTCAATATTTCATTTTCAAAATTATTCCTTGAAGGTCGATTAGTCGCAAGCGCGACGATTCACTGAGAAGCCTTGGGTTCGATTCTCAGGTTGAAGTACTGTTAGATTAATGTTTTTTTTTTAATATTTAAAGGAACAGTTCATAATTTACAAAGGACTCATAACATAAATGGTGAATAGTTATTATATTGTTTCTTTTAAACTTTACAACAATTTCTTAAAGGATCTAGGCAACTGAAGTATTTCAAACTCATGAAAATTTCGTGCATATCCCAAAATACTTACTTGCAGATTACACGAGATATTGTTCAATGCTGGAATGCAATCTGTTATACAAAGCTGAGCACTTCAGACACCAAATACTGTGTCAAATAAAAAAATCTAAAACAGAGACAAATTATTGTTTCCCACAGCCCGAAATGAGTGGTACATTAAAAGTACTCTTATTAAATTTTGAAATTATTAAATATCAGTTATTAAGATAAGCCCTGTGGTAACTACAGAGGAGATTACATCTGTATCCACACCTACTATTCCTGCGGGTATCGTGACCATATTAAGGGAATACATTATTAATTCATCATACTTTTAAGCTTAAATCTCCAACCGAAAGGTGGCACATAGTCCAACATAGACTCCCACGGGCTGTTAATGACAAAGATTCTAAAGAAATTGATCAATTCAAAATTACACACTCAGTAGTCAAGTCGAACATCGTCCTCTTGTCTAACGAGACAGGGACAAAGTAAATACTATCTCAGGTCTACTTCAAGATGACCCTTTATTATCAAGTTACAGTTAAAAAACAAACATACATTGAAATTAAGTAACACCACCTTTATTCCTGCAGCGGGTGTAAAACCAACTCTTCATCATTTATATTCAGAGTCCTAAGTTAAAATAATACTTTATTACAAGTAAAGTTAAAGAGACGTATTAAATATTCATAAATTAATTGTTAATTTAAATTAGGAAATACTTGTATTTAGTTAGTTCGACCGCATTATTTTACAGCCGAGGAAGATCTTCTGCCCGCTGCTACTCTGCCATTATCTTCCTCCTGGTCACAGCAAAGTAGACAGGAGATTAGAGAGAGTAGACTCGATGCTGGCGGTGCGTCACGTCCTATTCAGGAAACGATTTGTGACTCCGATAGTACTTCAGTAGAAAACTGCTGCTGGTGCCCACCGTGGCGCCCATCGTGGTGCCCTTCTTGGTGCACTAACTATTCAACAAATGCATCTGCCCCAGAACCAATAGAGCTTGATACTTTGAATGCTATCGATGAAGAGCCACATTGGACCTCAGAACAATGTACTGCCCCACCTCCGACCCCAGTAGAAGAATTTTCACATGACTCATCCCTACCTCCTGCGTATAAGAGCTACTTATATAATTTGCCAAACACGCAAGACGAAAAAATTAAAATCATTGTAATGCCCTATGAGGCACACCAGGATGGTCGAGAAATTTTTAAAAGAAGAGGAGCTATGTGTGCTATTGCCCTTAATGAGGAGAACACAACCTCGCAGGCTGCGTCAATAGATCAAAGTTAAAGCAAGTTTATGATCAAGTATATCTAATTATGTGTAAGAGATTTTAAATAGTAATCTTTTTCTCTCAATGAAATGTAGTTAGCACAATTGAGTAAACATATAAAAAATGTTTGCCCACTTCATATATATTTGTGTTGTTTGAAGTAGCTGAAGTTCCTATTCCTTTTAAGAGATCAAAAGATTGACTAATGTAATGTAAAATGAAGTTTTATATATTTCATTAAATGGTGGAATCATTCGAAGAGGTTTTAAAAAAATGGGCTCATGGCTAGTGTTGGCCTCTTGATTAATTTATTATAATTATAAAGGTTTCATTATTTGCTTCCAAACTATTTTATAGGAATTATAGTAATTGTCCAGCGACTAAATACGTTTTGAATATTATCTAATTATATTGAATATTATCTATATTAAGTATCAATTGTATTGTGAACATTATATTACCAAAATTATTTAAAATTAATTATAAGTATCTGTAAAATGATTACAATGAATGTTTCAAATTAAATAAATAATGAATACTCACATTATGTTTTATTTACTAATAAGGTGGTACTCCACCAAGACATACTTTAGAACTAAAACCTTTCACCAGCCATCCCAAACCAAAATGAAAACAAAATTGTAGCTCAGCGTCACCGTTTGCGAACTTTGTAGCTCAATATACGAATAAAATATAGAAAAACTCTTACCCGTACCTATTCACTAAATAAAAGTAATATTTTTGTTAATTTGTTACGTTTTATTCTTTCTATTACCAGGAGTACCATCACAGGCCTGCTAAAGATATATTCGAGGCGAGCTTTTCTCCAATATTTTGGGTACTGTTTTGATGAACATTCAAGCCCCCCACCGGAAGGCTAGTTCTGTTACCCCCAGCGCTACCTACAACCGCCGAAATTCAATCATCAAGGAACCGCAGAAACATTCGCATGGGCAGGATGAATCCTTTAGAGGATCATGAACGTAAAATCATTATAGAATTTTGCCATCTACTGGAAAAATCCAAACAACTATTCAATGGTTTACGGTGAGTGAAAAACAAAAATCGACTAATTCACAACTTACTCCATCATATAGTACTTCAACATTCTTCAGAAATGATAAAGACACTTAGCTACATCTTAATATAATATCACACTGTTAAATCTCTGAAAACCAAAGCAGAGGTGCGCTTGCGCATAGTCAAAGTTAACCAGTCGTGCTATTTGTCCCATAATCCCTTGTAATAGATGAGGAGCACAGACTTAATAATATAAGGAGATAGACCAAACCGGTGTCTAACTTTAAAGAAGGTTAAAGAAATACTCTTATTTTTGTCCAGAAACATGTGGTTATCGTAGTTTGTAATGCATTGCGGCTGTGCTTCTTCAATTCAATCTTGACCACCTATGCAATTTAAGCTCATAGCAATAAGCGTATGTAATATGGCCGCTGCTCGCGTATGTGCTGTGCGACATAACACACACAACTGCAAATACCTAACCATGCGTCTGCGCCTGTATGACACGCAATGCAAATAGTGACCAGTAATATTAGTTTTAGCAAGTACTAAGTGTGAGAGTACACTAAATGGCTTTGCGACTCTCAGACTTTATATTAAGCGATTTGATCGGTCTCCTTATATTACTAAATCTGTGAGCCTATTGCCATACACTGAACTCAGTCCTAGACTTCGTGCTATGAGAACAGTTTGACTAGCGGAGCAGTTTTTCAACATTTTATATAAAGCTACTGATATTTAACAACAAGTATTCCTGTTAGGATATCTTCTTAGGTGAGGTGAGAAAATCTCTAAGAGAACGTTAGAAATTCGCATACCCATATACGCCGCAGATTTTTAAGGGAGCAAAAGTGAAATTAAGGTATAAAATAGGGTGGCAATTGTCGTAAGTATGTATTGTATGAAGTTCTCTTTTAAATCATTGGGGCCTTAAGGCTTTATGACTGTTCGTAGTGAACCTGAGCTAATTTATATTCACATTTTACGAGTATATTAAAAGGTTAATTAATCAAAGCCACGATATCCTATCAGGACTAAACATACCCTACCGAGTCACGGTCCGGACGTCCATCGTACACATACCTTCTCTACAACACACGTACAAAATGTTACAAACGAACCTGTCACTGTAATATCTCAGTCATTAAGATGGACAATTATATTAAAAATATTTGAATAGAAAACTATAGTAATTATTCTCCTTAGCTACAAAAAATTCGCAATAAATTGATCGTAAGTATTTAGATCCCGAGGTCGAGGAAAACCACAAGGGTTATCGGGGCTTCGTCCAGCTTGAAGCAGGATCTAGAACGAGGTGGTTTGTAGTCAGTAAGAGTGTGACATTCTCGCCTGAAGTTTCCAGTACGGACAGAGTCATTTTGATCGTCAGTCTTTCACATAAAACTACTAACATAAGGTCTGGCAAACAACAGAGTTGTGATTTAAGCACACCTCAGATTTCCTTCACCTACAATATTTACCACTCTTCTCTACCTCACCCTAAGGTCAGAGGTGTAGATAATGCCTGAGGCTTTAAGTCCGCCTTCATACTAGTTTAGTACATGAAGCTTGTACAAAACTACTATAAAAAGATCAAGACACTGATCCAGATTAACGCCTCTGATGACAATCTCTATTCATGAAGGAAGTACCAAAAAGAGAAGCTCTAAATCTAATCTAAGCTCTAAAACTCTCTGTTTAAATTCTCAAAATCATAATAATGTGGAGTATTTTTGAATAGGAGAAGATCTCATTTTACATTCTTAATAGGATGGCGTTTGGCCATTATCACGCCTGGTGGTAAGCGACGACGCCGACGATGAAGCACGCCTACCTATGACTATTCACTCAGGTCTTGAAGATACCCAAGTTGTATTTCTCAAATAGAAAAGAAAGTTTAGATCGAATATTATCGACCTATTTTGACCTCATCTCATCCTATCTGGAATACATAAAACGATCAAAAAGGTTAATACAATACAGTAAAGTTAAGGTTTAAAAAGGTATTGTTTTAAACGAAATACCAAGCTAGTCGATTTCAGTGGACAATGGAGACGATCAGTACCGAGGAGGGGAGAGTGCTGACACTTGTTACATCTCCCGCAAAGTGGCCCACTTCGAGCACGCAACATTATAACCTATTGTACAGTCTACCTACTCAAATGTTTGTGAGAATCTTTCCAATTCTTTGCATCTCTCTTATTAATATACAAACATTTATTTAGTGTTAGTTCAAGTCATGGCACGCAGTAACAGGCATACAGAACCTCCAATCCAGATATATGTATTTTTTATGGCCGGTCAACGAGCTGATGGAAACCTGATAGTAAGCAATCAGTGCCACCATGGACATCCACAACACCAGCGGCGCTGGGAGTTAGGAATTTGAAGACTGTTGGGGAACCGAGAATGGGAGAAATTGGGTAGGAAAGTAACTTTATTCACACGACGAATCACAAAGCAAGCGTGGTTCCACGTCGGTTTTCAGTGAAGCTGTGATATCACTCTGGTCGAGTCGGCCAATTCATGCCGAAACATGGCTGTCCCACACTTAATTTTTTAAGGACAAAGGGTTATGTTGCACCCACCATTCAGGGCAGTACCCCCTCTATGTATAGGTATTCTTATACAGAATAAAACTTAATATTCTGACAATGGTCAAAAGTCAGTGGTTTCGGAAATATATAGCCTATAATGTTGCTAAGAAAGTGTTCTTAAGCTAAGGAAATACTCGATCGTAATTCACTTAATTGTGAGATGAACATTCCAAAAGTGATTGTTTACATCTACATGTAGTAGAGACTACTTCTGCGAGTACCTATTAAGAAGGTAGTTCAATAATAAATAGCCACCCATCTAAAGAACCTCGGTAAGCATAGCTTAATCATGGGGATCGACTCGTATGCCTGATATTATTTAGTAAGAAGCTCCTCTAGTATTCAACATGGTTCTAATATTAGGTAGAAAGAACATCAATAAAGATAGTATAATAATCTTGCACAATAAAATAATCCTTAAAGAATACGTCAGATTAAAATGACATTAGGGTGTTGTACCTCCGAAGATACTAACAAATCTAACAATAGACCATAAGTATATTATCAACTATTGTTCCATTAAGCCGTATCCAACGGCGTATTACACGTTGCTATTGAGGGGTGGGCTCAGAATCCATACATGTCTTCTGAAAATTAAATGTTATGTTGTATGATATATTTCATAACGTCAGTACACAAAGGCTCTACTAAGCACGCGGTTCGCGCACTGACAATTTGAGGTTGGCTTTTCCCAAGCCAAACCGTGCTGTTATTTTGTGCCATGACCTATAATCGTAATGATACAACCATATAGTCATTACGCGTAGTTTTTACCATAGTCATAATTTAATAGTTTCTAGAGGTATGAACAAGCATTCTAGAAGTATATAATTTAGAACTGAGGAGATATTACTAGGTAATATCCTAATTATATCATTTCTTAAAATCTCGTTTTCTTGATACATCAAGAAAACGAGATTTTAAGAAATGACACAGAATACAGTACACTGTAGCATAGCACGTTCTCTAGGATGATCAGATGTCTGGCAATATTAACAAACATTATAGAAAGCATTTTAGCTATTTAGCTCATAAATTCCAATAATTAATAAACTCAGTGTCTTAAACCACGAAGTACAATCTACATGCATAGTTTTGAACTATGGATCAAGTTTCGTTAATTGATATTTAGTTATTCCTAATCTAAAGTCAAATTTCCATTGCAGAGAGTTGCCACAATATGGGCACAAACAATGGCACTCCTATTTTGGAAAGACGTTCGATGTGTACACGAAGCTGTGGAAGTTCCAACAGCAACACAGGGGAATTCTTGATAGTAAATATGGACTGAAACGTTGGCAAATTGGCGAAATCGCTTCGAAAATAGGACAACTTTATTATCACTTCTAGTGAGTATTCATCTGTGATCTACTTAATCGATTTCGATTTACGATGTTTTGTTTTTCTCTTATTAACTTCATTGCTTTCTTTAAATTCTTTTTTTAGCTTAAGAACAAGTGATACAGCTTACTTAAGCGAAGCCTTCTCCTTCTACTTCGCCATTCGAGGCAGGAGCTACTACACTCAAGCTTCTAAAGAAGACAAATGCGAACTGATGGTAAAAAAACTTCGTTACTATGCACGTTTTATCGTCGCAAGCCTTCTGCTCAAAAAAATGAAACTGGTCCGGGACCTATTAAATGAGCTTGACAAACAAATTAGCGAATATGGCATCACTTATGAGCCAGATGATCAAAATGAATGGAGGATTGTTGCTGATGAAGTTAGGAGCTTCATTAAAGTGGAGCCAGTGGTGACTGTGTACCATCCTCAAGAGTTCGTCGTAATACTGTCGCATCGGTAAGTTGGTTAAGGTCTTTATCAGCCTCAGTAAAATAGTGATCAGAACTCGACAGGGAATCAAATATGTAAGTAATATTTCAGACTTAGTCCTCAAACGACGCCACCAATCGAGAGGACGTCCGCGATGACATTAATTCTTCAAGAAGTACTGATTGTTGGAAGTAATGCTACTCAGCTGAAGTTTTCTGAACTGACTATGGACATGTACAGAATGATGCAAACTCTTGAACGGGAGCCCAATGGCGAGGCCCAGCACTTGTACGATGAATCGCCACGACAGCGTTGTGCGTCAACACCGAGTGCTTTTAATAACAAAGGTAAATACATGATTAACTAGATTTAAGTTATAACTTAAGTTCTCTCTATATATAACTAAATATAACTTCTCCATTTAGGAACTGCGAAATACTATTGCTTGCGATTGCAATTGAATTTGTCCTAAATGATCGAAATGATTTAAGAGTTAGTAAACTCTGAAAGATCAGAATAATTATTTAATTATTGTAGTTAGAGCCACTCAGTAATAAAATGTCGCAAAGACCAAAAAGTCAACCATATCATGAACAAATTTACGATATACATATATGTATACGAATAATGATATCAAAAGTTCTAGCTGATTGAGATAAACTACCACAAAATGTGGTTACAGCCATTCAGCCAATTGCATCCAAGCATTTGAAGTGTTCAAGGGTCTCAATTACTTATGCGCTCCAACGTGCAGAAAGGCATCCCGTTGAAGACGCCTCGACGACCATTGATAAAATGTTCTTTCGTTTTCGTCCAGAGTACTGATTCTAAAAATAATTCGTCTCTAATGAACGTGTTTTAGATCAAGATATACAGGTACAGGGACAATTAAAATATGGTTTCATATTTAATTTTAAAACAAAAAAATGCTAGCGTTATACACAATCGTTTAACTGTGTTTACTTATTACTTTTGTGAGGAGAATGGAGAATGCCCAAAAAAACGCAGAGTCAATTAAAATAATTTATGAACAATGATTACATACATAGCCGCAAATGGGCTATTAGTTTTGGCCAAAACTATAACCTTACGGGCCCGCAGACTGGAGCATTATTACAATCTTGTATAGCACAACGCGTGACTACTGGGTTTATTGTTTTGTTACTGTGTTTGTAACCAAAGAAAGAGATGGAGAATACTCGTATGGAACTACATTTACGACAGTATACAGGTCCAAGATACCCATCATACCACGAAGTGATTATATTAGAAAAATCTGTATAAACTATTAAATCTGCGGAAAAATCATGCAAACCGAGACTACATTTACCTCTACTGAATTCGATTTTTTATTACTTGTTGACGATTTAATCGAGAACAATTATTGAATTTGGGATAAACTGTGTACATTCACTCTACCACAGATTAATTAATATATTAATCGATTCCACGTTTCTCCTTTATATTGTATTTTTGAGCATTCTCGATTACTGACTACGTACATTTGACTTATAATTGTAGATGTCCATTTAGTCCTACATCAATGTCTTCACACAATCTGCTCGCATAGGTAAAGCTATAGAATTTTGAATACTGGAATTATTTTTGTAACTATTGTGTATTTAATAATTTTGGATTTTTCTTATATATTTATTATTTCTTTAAAACGTTAAAACATGGGTTTTACGCCTATGTAGTTGTGTACACAGTTCGTACTTATCTTTATAGTGAATGTATTAATTTAACCGCCATTAAAGTTACCAATGTGTACATAAACTAATTAATATTACAAATACTAAACCTAAAGGCACCTAAGCCCTCAATACGACAATTGTTTTAGGCTATAACTTAGAATGCGGTCTTAACAAAAACGAGGGGCCGCATAAATACTTGCTGTTTAAACCATCACCTAACCAGGTGTTTGTGTACCTGGCTAGTGCTTGCGACGACCTGCTCTGTAACGGAGTGGTTCTGCTATATATATCTGCAGAAGGATTGCTCGTTCCTCCGTCAAAGAATCACTGTGAAGAAGGTAAGTCCATAATAAGTATAGCCCATAGAAATGTCCCTACGTTAAGTAAACGTTTTAGAATATGAAAGTTAGTATTACTTACTTTCAGTTCATGCCAAAAGATAAAACATGTAATTTAACTACACCTCACGTTTAAGAGAATGCCATATTAAAATCACTGATATTACTTTTAAAAGTCCCTGTTTAAAACACATACTTTACGTGCACTTCCAAATAGTAGTTAGGACTTAGTTTGAGACTTGCAAACGCAATATAAATTAATTTACTTTAATTCCTCAAAGGTACTTTTGTCCACGGTGCATTTCTGTCTCAGTTACGAATAATTCATCAAGACAAGACAAGAATTTTTGTCTGAACTAAACGACAAAACGTTTTGTGTTTAATTATAGACAAGAGAATCCTTACTATATAATATTATAAATTGGAAAGTCAGTTTGTTTGTTTGTTCCGCTTTCACGCCGTAACTACTAAACCGATTGCTTTCAATTTTTGCAGACGTAAAGTTAGAAGTCCGAATTAAATAATAGGGTACTTGTTATCCCGGAAAAATTTGATTGAATTTTTATTCTATTGTGACGCGAGCGAAGCCGCGGGTAAAAGCTAGTGAGGAATATTTGAAAGTTAATATTGTTCTATCCCTTTGTCATACCACACCGCACTATAATAATAATTGGTATATTTGAAAATAAACGTATTGTGATTTATTCTAGGAACGAGACTGAAACCGAAAATATGAATTTTATATGTATATTTTTTTATTTATATGTTAGTTCCAACCACACTGATTTGATTAGACTTTAATTGAATATTTATACAATTCCATTTTTTGCGTGCATATTTCCATAAACGTTTTAAAAAAATATAGTTCTGTTTGCATCACTGAAACTAAATAGAAGTATTTGTTATTGTATTTAAAATTTTGTATTTTTATGAGACTCGCATACTAAACACAAACATGTGAGGAACAATTTCTGTTTGATTTATTAAACAACCTATTGCGACCATCAATCATTCTTTATAGCAACACAATTTTTAGTTTACATTTACATGATATATATAAAAAATAAACAAATAAATAAATATGTACAATAAATTAAATCTAAGAGAGATATTTAAATAAAGGAAAACTAAAACGACTATTTACAGAGAGCACCAAAAAATTCGTTCGCATCGACGTCAATAGGGAAAGTACCCAGAAGGCTGGCAGCATTGCCACGTTGTATGACAATGCTTAACCTCAAACCGAGAAATAGACCAGCCCTCTGGTCACAAGATATAGTCCTTTTAATTTTGAATAATTAATATTGTTCATGATCGGAATCACACTAAAAAACACCCATATATATTAAATAATATTCTCAGCATACACTCGATGACAGATATCGAGACACCGGGAAACTTTATAGTTTTCAAGTTATTGCTTTCAGTCAAACGAGGAAACTTCTATGTATATATGAAGGCATTAAACAACTCATATTATGCATGAAGTTCTAAAGAATATCGCCTGCAGTATTTAGAATCAACCTTTCATGAAAGGCGAGTGGTTTTTGGGAATGAGCGCCAACGCACATAGTTTGCGTTTGTTCATAGGTCACACTGATTGCTTATCAGGTGATCCGCCTGCTCGTTAGGTCCCTAATATAAATAAGGTTTCATTATTATCTGTTTCAGTCATATCATACATAGTTTATTATGACTTTTATCCTTACTTAATGACAAAAACGTTGCTCCAATTCATTGTTTGTGTAAAATTATGAATTTCTATTTGAAACTAAAAAAGACAACATTCAATAACTCATCCTTTAAGGATGATAAGTGCATGGTAATTTTTTTATTGATATATATCTATTATTATAAGATTTTGAAGTAAAAGTGCACTTACGGCTTCAATTTCTCTGATTTAGCAATAACAAGCGCTACTCAAATGGAAAAGGCTCTATTGCTAATGAAATTGAAGGATTATGAAACCATTTAATTGATGTACTTCCAATCCATTAGTATTGCAGCAAAGATTAGCGTTCCCCACAAATAGAACCAGTAACAACTAGATACCCTACACACAATAACTGCTAATTGAAAACAATCATAAATCGAAGTCAATGAATGATTTAATTAATTAAAATGTGGTCTAAATAAATGACCATTAGGACACATTTCCATTGTTGTACTTTATATATATTTTAATTTTTTTATAGTAAATGGTATCAGTCTCGTTCAACTAAACACATCCTACCAGAAACCTGTGGTCAATATCCAAAAGTCTTCTTGTACTCTTTAGTTACAAAGTGACCTTTATAATGTAAATAAGGACAGAACCAATCATTATGTGTTTCCAACAGCAGGTGGCTACGACGTGGGAGGACTGATCACAACGTCCAAAATCGACGTGCTTGGACGGGAAACGACGATAAAAGAGGGAAAGTCGGCCCCTCCTAAGTATAAAGATTTACAGGTTCTCCATCCAGGTGACCTGTATCCATTCACACGGCGACCTATGGTCGTGATCGTGGATTCCGACAATTCTTTCATTTTCAACGACATGCCTCGTCTTTTCGGGCAGCCGCTGATTATACTGATGTCACCGATGGAGCTGCCTTCCAGTCTCTATCGTAAGTATAGGATGCAGTCGGTTGAACAAACCCAGCTATAATTGGCTAGTTTTCAAGAAAATATTGAAACTCAATGGGCGGATTGGTATTTGTGGTAATTGTGTTTTTACTTCGTGGACTATATTGTTTCTTCATTCATTCCATTCTGAATTCTGATGATTAATAATAAAATTATTTAGCTATCATAGCTTCGGAAATAATAAAGCTGTTCATGAGAGCTATGAAAAGATAGATATTGATACCAAAAGATGAATAATTCTACTTAAAGAGTGCTAAATAAAATTAATATCAAGGACAAGTGATGTAACCTTGAAATGTTCATATTTAAAGGTAATTGAAACCTATAGTGTACACATGTCTTATATTAGATCCAACTGATGCTCTGATCTCTTGAGGAGCCAGCTTTATAGGATAGGAAATTAGGGAATTCGGGCAATAAAAAGTAAGTTCACCTATCATTATTCGAAATCTCATGACATTTTCATTTTAAACCTCTAAGATTTTTTACCATTGTAAGGTAACGAGAGAGTTATACTTGATTTTGTACTTATAGTTACTTTTCATTATACTATGTCACAATATTTTTGATAGTAGAAATATTTACTCAATTTTATACTATCATTAACTTTAGTAACATTAGGACAAAACCCATCATTATCTAAAAATACAGTTTCATTATGACGGAACCAAGTGAAGCAAGTGACAGAGTGACTTTTTATCACTACATTGTTATTCATAAACTCTCACAATGTAGACGTTTACCTATATTTTTATTTTCAAACAGCACATTATCTTCTTACAATCATAACTCGAACAAACAAAACTAAAAAAAAACGAGCTTTCCATTTAGTTTTTACACTTTTTTCTTGTAATTTTCACTGATATATAGGCATTTTAGGCGAAACCATAAAATTCTAGTATATAGCAAATTGTAACTTTACATTTTCTTAACCTATTAGTTAGTTTATACATTACGAACATGAAAACACATGTTCCTAAATTATATTCTCAAAGCAACGTTATGTCTTGCAGTTTTATTATGTAGTTATAGAATAATAATTCATAATACTCACTCACTACAAATGTATTACTATTATATAATAATCACTGGACATTAAAACTGTTATTTCTTTTACAACTTTAACAGATTGCCTCTCTCGTTGCCAAAATAATTTGCATTCAAAAGATTCTTAAAATAAGTGTTACATTTAAATAGCATTACTGATCAGATTTAGGATCTGGAATGACCTTTTGTACTATCATCCCTAGACTAAGTATAATCTAATATATAACACGTGTGCCATGGGTAGAAATTTAAAACAATTCAGTTACCAATAACTTAATGAATGAAGAATATTGTATTTAATTGGTTTTATGGCCCATATCATTTCACAGTCAAGAATGCGATTACTTCGAGTGGCCAGATTCGTCAAACATATTCATAATTGTAGAATACAAATTTTCATCATACAGTTCTGTGGGCTGCCTCTTGGATACATAGGTATTTCAGATATAGGTAGCACTCGGGAGGGTTTTAATCGGTAATAGTCCCATAGTCCCCTTTGTCGTCCCCAAACGAGAGGGTTCCATTACAAAGATTTTTAACCTAGTGGTCAAATAGGGAGCTGTGTTTTAAATCAATTCACTATTTATGTTATAATTCCCATGTAATAGGGCGTGAGCCTATTGCCATATATCTGGCACAATTCCAGAAACCGTGCTTCTACTGAGATTTTTTTTTAAACTCAGTAATACTTTGCTCAGTAAATCGAACTCGAGACAGGCAGTCGCATTTGCGTCCACTATGCCAACGAGGCAGTCAAATTAACAAAGTTTTGTCACTTTTATTGTAATAACGTACGCTGTTACAATCTCAATTCACAACACTGATTCAAATTCCCGTACTAATCACCCTCCCGACATACAAAATTATTATTATATTTAGAATGTAGTTTTAGTTACAGAATTTTGATATATTAGGAACATGAATATACATACGGCTGACTGTAAAGTAAATTATGACAAATTCTCAATTTCTGAACAAAGAAATGAGAGCAGTCAGCAGCTGGCACTCGATCGCACTGGCTCTATAGCTCCTACCAGTTCCCGCTATACTTAATAGACGGGCCCGCTATACTTAACTTATCACTGACGATCAAACCGCGCGTAATATGTAGAATTTTTAAAAAGACATCTTGGTGTGCTATCGCAGACGCTTTGAAGAACAAAATTTTTACATTTATTTTGAACATTATATTAATTTTCATTGGAAACGCTCGCTTACCGCAATACCGATCAGAAGATCGAGAAGAAATTCAAAATTCAAAATTCAAAATTTTCTTGTATATAATTGATTGGCAATGAATTTGTTCTAATGATTTTATGAGCACTAAACATTTAGTAGCAGCACCAATTTTGAAAAGTTAATACACTTCATGTTTTCAAAATTTTGCACTTTGCAATTCCCTAACCCTGTGGCAAGGCCGCAGTGAGACATATTGACCCTCGCTTCAAATTGGTAGTAGTGATCAAAATTTTCCCCCGATTGGCAACTAATTATTATCATCATTTAGCTAGAACAATCTCATCCAGTAGGTACAAGTTACTACAACGCGGATAACTTAGTTCATAATAAAATGAAATGGGTCAAAATTACTCCGTTAAAAAGTAATCAGATAAATATTTTCACTGCAAACCATTCCGCCCTATATGAGTTACCAAAATTTAAATGAAAAAAAAAAACATTTCAAAATTATAACCTGACTGTCGATAGGTAGGTTAAAATAAGTTATATTATAAGTACTTTTTGTAATACTGCTATGTTATAATAGTTATATTGTAATTAATTGAAGTAACTGCTATGGACTCTATATACGTTATTTCTTTAAACAGTGTGGAATTATTGTAATACCATCTGAAGAGGAAGTACTCTTAATACTATAGAAAGAAAATTTTACTCAATGAAAACAGTAATTTATTTAAAAAAAAAAACTAAATGGCGCTCAAAGATTTTTAAAAATTCGCTTGCCGCACATGATAATCGAACCGAGTAAAATCTGTAAAAGTTGCACACTGTACTTTTATTGCATCGATCGTTAGGGTCAATACGGATGTAATTTGTGTAAAGAAACTTCATAAATTGAACGAAAAGAAAACAATAAAAGTCAAAGTCAAAATCATTTATTTCAATTAGACCAGAAAGGCACTTTTGAATGTCAACAATAAAATTAAAAGTGTATCTATTTGCTCATTCCAAGGTGTAGATTCCTATGGAGAAGAACGAGCAAGAAACTCCATAGGTTACTCTTTTTCAATCAGGGATTCAATGGTTGACACAATGCTTAAAGCAATTCAAATACTAAGAGCTCCCCTTTATGTAGCAATACAAAATTCCACCCTGTATATGCTATGGACGTTACGTATTCTTCAACTTTTTAAATAATTTACAAACTGTATTCCATTTTAAGCCATCGTTAAGCCGATGAATTGTCAATGCTATGTACGCCATCATTGTCACATACATCAGACCATTACCTTGTTACTTTTGTGTATTTTAAGTGTAAGTAGTTTGTGTGATACTGCTACAAATTTATTTTCCTAGCCGTCAAATAAGAGTATAACTTAAGTTTCATTTTACTTTATAATTTATATGAAGCATTTTATTATAATTTCACTGTACTTATAACCGATGATTGTAAATCAATTGTTGCCTTTCTTACATTTATATGATTTCTAAATTTTGTTTTGTATTTTCTTTTTTATTATAAAGGACTTGTAAATACAATATAAAAATGTGTAGTATATTTAGAACTGATGAGAACATATTTTTTATGTGTGAGACATTAAAAGTGATAACTCGTATTATAGTATTGAACTGTTTCGAAATGCATTCTATGTGAAAATAGACCTATTGGAGACATTTATATTGTAAACAATATCATTCTATAGATAGGTATATGCAGTTAATTATCCCTATGCTCGTTACGTAATGTCACATTCAATGTTGCTCAAGACTATGAGCCCCGACGTGGATTGCAACTAGTTTAATTTCCTGTCAACAATTTAACTGATACGTGCCACAAAAGGACGTACAATTTTATTAAAAGTCTATAGATTCTCTGGTGAGATGTATGAAAATAAATAAAAACATGAGCTTAGGCATTTCGTAGGGTCTCTTTTCCAAAATCTGGGTGTGCTAACGCAAACGCTTTGAAGAACAAAATTTTTACATTTATTTTGAACATTATATTAATTTTCATTGGAAACGCTCGCTTACCGCAATACCGATCAGAAGATCGAGAAGAAATTCAAAATTCAAAATTCAAAATTTTCTTGTATATAATTGATTGGCAATGAATTTGTTCTAATGATTTTATGAGCACTAAACATTTAGTAGCAGCACCAATTTTGAAAAGTTAATACACTTCATGTTTTCAAAATTTTGCACTTTGCAATTCCCTAACCCTGTGGCAAGGCCGCAGTGAGACATATTGACCCTCGCTTCAAATTGGTAGTAGTGATCAAAATTTTCCCCCGATTGGCAACTAATTATTATCATCATTCAGCTAGTAGACTCATCCAGTATCTTATAGTTATATCTTGAGTTTTGTATAAAAATTAACATGAAAGTATTGTTGAAAAATTACAGATACATATAGTAATCATATTAAAAGAAAACGAAATTATTTCAATCTGAAAACAGCTCAGATATATTAATGTTATTTCAACTATCGACATCTTATTGCAAGGGTTGAAACTGTAATGTACTTATCTATACGTATATATGTTACTATGTACATTTGTTTAGTAAATAATATTGTTTTTTGTTTACATTCCATTATGGCCCATATCATAATCATTGTTATATTTTGAAATTTCATATTCATATCGCTCATTACCTAAATATATGTACATCGTCGTTTCTATTTCCAGTATTCGATAAATTTCGACTAGCTAAAACATTGCATTGTATAAAACTCTTTTTAGGCTATCCTATCCATTGTTCGACTTCCCGGGTGAGCTGCATTAAAGCCAAAAAAAAAATAACTTTGGCACTTTTTTTGAGATTTGTTTTTGACATATCATTATGTACAAAAAACCATTTGGGCATTGATGAGAATGTCTTAAATCTGCCATGAAGTGGTGCAGCTTACCCACAGTAGGCGGGGGTTGGTGGACTTAATGGAATTAAGTCTATCAGCCTCCAACCAAATTCACAGCTGTACCTGGTGAGGCGAGGGTTGAAGGAAGCTTGTTCACTCTGTTCCTGCACTGCCCGCTGTCAGCGCTGTGCCTCTGCTGCGACATCAAGAAGATGGGGTTAATGAACTGGGAACGAGCACAGTCCTATATTGATGCATTCTTGAAGGAAGCAGGCGCGCTGGTAGCTCGCAGTCGTACCGGTAAGTGTGGACATGAAATGGCCTGTCATTCTTACTCATATTTTCATGAGACAAAATAATTGCCTTATGTTTGGTTTAATAAGTGGTAAACGCTTATATAACCATGTTGCGTCGTACTCTGGGACTTTATCCCAGCGAGAGTGCATTTTGCACACCTTACTCACAGTGGCGTGCACAGGTTTTCGAGACAGGGTAGGCAACTAAATATCGTATGATTAAACCCCTCCCCCCCGCCGGTCATACAATCATGCTCACACAAGATAGGTACATGTACATAATATATTTTGAAAAGTGTGTTCAAGAATATTGTGGTGTATTGTTTCGCCAAATTACATACACTGACATCTCGCGTATTTTTTGTGAAGTACTTCATCAGCTATTGAATAAGCCAACAAAACTTACAAATAATGAAAGATCTATTATTTATTTTAATAATGAAGCATAAATTTGATGAACCAAATTTCATTATGGAATTGTTAAGGTTAATCAATCTGGTCAAAATCATAATATATTACGAATTTAAGAGCGTAGGTACCTACATTATGTCAACAAACAAAACAATAACAAGCGCGGCCGGCTGTGGCCGAGCCGGCCGAGTCTATGCGGTACATTTGTTATTACTACATTACATAAATATTAATAATAAATTAATATGTGAATCAGTACAACCCGAAGTCTAAGTTGATATTTTTAAGAATTATCAAACAATAAACAAGAAAATCAAATAAAAGATCCATTATAGTACATATTTACATTACCTACCTTTTACTTGGGTCAATTCTCGTAACTCGAGTACACCTCTGCCTATGGTCATTACCTGAATCTAGTCCGATAAAGGACATTGCGAAATCTTACTGTTTTTACTTTCAACAAACACATAAAATTACCTATTATTCACACACACTTCACAATCGAATAATATAGGTACTTGTACTAGAAACTGAGAAACAAATACACTATTTGAAAAACCTACACATATATTTAACTACTACTACACATTTATGCAACTTTATGTTTAAAACTAATTCCTAATAATTTAAACGAAAACATAAACAAAGCGATCGCACATCACATGAAAACAATATGGCCGAAAACATTGGAAATGAATTGAAGTCATTACCAATAGTCAATTGAGTGTTTATTATAAAAAAAATGTAGCTTAAAAATTAAGGTAACGCAGCGTTTAATTTCAAAAAAACAAACGTTAATTTAGTAAGTCAAATGAAATTGCATCATCGTCTTAAACCAATATTTCATACTAAAAAACATTCATTCATATAATTTGAAACGTTGTAAATGGCGCCATCTTGACGTATCAATAACTTCCTTTTAACTTTTATAATAATAAAGTCAACTCCTCGTTTAAAATTTCTATAAACCGACAACGCGTAAAAATGTTAAACTTTAATTAAAACACTTGAAAAATATTTGTTAAATACGCATTTATAAAAATACATTCGCATTATATCGAACGAGTTCAGAAGTTTCAACAAAAAATTCAATAGATGGCGCTGGTGTACTCCATTCATCAGTACTTTACGATATACATACAAATTTTATCAATTTAAATCCTTTTATGATTTAATTGTTTTTAAAAATACAATAACTTGTTGTTGTTTTATTGTATTTAGAATTCTTAATAAAATACGATCGTTTTCCAAGTGATGAACGAACGGTCCTCTAATTTTTTAGTTGCAAACATTTTGTCAATCAACAGGAATCGCGTAATATAATTATGAATGGTTATTCTGTACCGTGACTATGGTCGTGAACTTCACGCATGCGCGGTGCATACTTTTGGTACATTTCTTTTGTGACGTCACTACTGCCAACCAAGATTTAAGGAATAGTGGCGCATGCGTGGTGCGTGCGGGGCGCATTCATTACTTTACAAAGGCGCGTATTTATGTTAGCCGTTTTTTTACAAACTTTTATTATATTATTGAATTTTAAAAAACGCGTTTGTACATTATATGTATGTTATATATTCACGATATTTATAGGTATGCAATGCCTTTTCGCCTATATGGACTGCACGCCACTGCTTACTCAATATATGCAAACCTGGAAAAATAAAGTATTATAAAACTAGTGACACCTGTTGTCGTATACCTTTAAACGAGCTATTCTTGTATCAACTATTTCGGAAATAGCTACATTTTCTTGAAATTTTGTGTTTTGGGGGTTTTCAGGAACAATAAATCGATCTAGTTGGTTTTCGTTTTCGTATAAAACCGTTTAATATAAATAAAAAACTGCGCAAAGCATGATCACTCCATTGCAACTCGTACATTTAACGGCAATTTTTTGTAATATTAATCTAAGTGCTGTAAAACTGCACTGATTTACTAAGTGGTGTATTACCAAAAACATGTTGTGTTGCGCTTTATTCCAATAATAGATTCGAAATCAACACCAGTCCTTCATCAATTTACACTTATAGAAACAATTGCAGACGCGCTATTCGCCTCTACGATTTTCGAAAGATCCCCTCATTTTTCCTGGGTTCCCATCAACAATCCCTGACTTAGCCTTTCAAACTAAAAAGGAATCTTGATAATCGATTAACGCCTGATGGAATAATATTTTAACATGTTGTTTTGTTATTTTAACATGCTTTTAACAGTTTGAAACTTTCTTTCTTTTTAAAAATAGCATGTTAATGTAGAAGAAATATTAACATCAGTTGAACTTTTTTATAGATGTTGTACCACCAGTAATGAGAATCTGCATGTCACGCACTAAATGTAACTTAGTATATCTGAGACCTATGTTAGTCCCGTCTGGGGGTCATATTATTATTGAAATGATCTGATTTCAGAGTACGTGTTATTCCTTGGTGACGATTTCTTGCGGCTGCTGATTCTACGCTTCATCTTCTGCGAGACGTTTCTGCGAATGCATCGGCTGTTCCGCGGTCGGGCGCAGCACACGCGCTGCAGCCCACCTCTGCCCAACGACATCTATGACCATCCCACCCTCACTCACATCTTCATGGAGCTATTAGCACACCTGCAGGTAACTGAGACAATCAATCGAAACGGATTGATGTGCGAAAGTGCTCCGCTATAGCATCCGCAAATGTTTCACATATTGCTTTGCGTTATTTTTATACAGAATAAATACTATGTTATGTATCAGACGATTTTTTACAGGTACGAAGCCACTTCCACGAGCCAGCTGCCGCTGCCCAGGCTAGCAGGGAGTGATATGCGTCGAAAAGAGCTCGCAGTGTGTCGTTCGCCGCTCAATAGCAAATAGCTTTCTGTCCACGGCCCACTGCGGGTCGAGACAGAACATATATATAAAATATGGCGGAAATAGTGGTTCATGGCATAAACCACCTCTGTTGCGAGCGCGTGCTACAAGATTTAAGTTCCTTGTATTGAGGCTCAAATTACTTGCGCTCCTAAATTTAATCCATAATAAAATAATTGTTACTACAATATACTCATAATAAATACAAATACAAGAGGAAGCACGATTGTAAATAAGCACCCATTTATTAGGTAGATCAATTACTATTGAACCCTATCTTTTCGACTACATTCAAGTATTTTATCGAAATACAAAAATAATACAATACAGGATATTTAAAACGGAAACTTGCAAAACCACAATTAAGAACAATTAATTCCATGGATCACGACGGCAAATTAAAGTCAGCTAAATATACGAAGGCTACAAAAATATCATGTCCAAGATTACTATATTTCAGCTTATGGTTCTATTCAGAAACATTACTGAATATGAACCACTACACGACGAACAAAGACGAATAGTTGTTCAGAACGTTACCACTTTGTTTTAATGTTTAAGTTAATACTGATGAATCATGGATATTTCTAATATTATGCTCCTCCGAATTATATCCTATGCTAATGCAGAGGTAATCCTAGGTATTGTTTAAAATACAAACATTATCCACATTTGTGGTCAACATAACAATTATAGGAAAAATGTACAAAACACTTATTTCATATTTATCTTGTGATTTCATTGTACTCATTTAAACTGTCAAACACCGCGCGGTCACCGGTGACCGCAACCTATTGTTCTATAATTGTGTCTATAATGACGGTACTTGACGAGTTATTCTCAGTACAGTTAAAAACTGTTAATAGTAATTATATATATATCCACATCGTGATCCATCAGAACTAATAAACAGTTTTTATAAAATATAGCAGATTATGCAATGTTATGTTATGTTACCCGAGATTGACTTAACACTGAAGAAAAACTGTGTCTATTATTACAATAAACTGAATATAACAAAAAATATTTAATGGCGTCATGTACTTATTATTTAGAAACTTTGTAAATACTCTATGATATTCAATTGCCGTCGTATTATTAAACTATTATTAATAATTTTTATATTAACTTGCAAATATATATTGGAACTATGCATTAATTAATTCTAAAAATGGTCATGAAATAATTAATATGACCAAATTAAAATTTAATTGTTTACAACATTAATATAATATTATAATGTTGAAGGAAATTAATAAAATTTTCGTATATTAAAATGTAAATTATATATGCAAATTCATATAGACATCCACAGAAAAGAGTATATATACAAACATATATATTATAAGTATTTTTGCTTCAATATTTACGCTTTTTATCGAGATAATACTTAAAATATTATAGATAAAGTTATTTAAATGGTATTAGACGTAATATATAAGCGTAATCCAATTTCATTATTTCTGGTAGACTACAAATAAAACAATATAACAATTTAATGTAGTTCTCTGGGAAAATCACATATAACAGTTTTTTTTTCTTTAGAAATCTCGTCATTACAATACCAAAAATTTAAACAATATATTATGCAATTAGGTGCAATTGGTCACGCATTTTGACCGTAGATAAACACATTTATGGTATTCATTTCTATTGTCATAATATATAGCATTTAAAGATAATGCATAATTGTATAGACATAAGAATATAAATCAATGTTATTACTTATTACGACATATATTATGCATTAAAGACTAACGATTAAATTAATCCTGACATTAATGTTTATGTATAAAATATATTAACATTACTAATTAATGGAATTGCACATTTAACAATTTACTATAGACATAATTATTATTATTTATAAAAATAAATACTGTAGGTTAATGAAGTTAAAAAATATTTTATTTAAATGTTAATTGTACACCGTTTTCAATAGTAGACTATAGAGCTCAACTTAAATGTATTAGGTGTTTAAAACTTTAATTAATTGATGTTAAAAATATTATAACAATAAACCATTTTTTGTTTATGTGTTAGTGGGTAAATTAATTATTATATAATTTGTCGAAAAACCGATACTTGTAAATTAAGGGAGCACAGCTGTACCTACAATACTTTTCAATTACTTCAAATATTATAATAACAGACGTACAATATTTAAAAAAAAATAGGTGCAATATGATACATATACCTCTATATTGCAATCAACATATTGTTTAACTAAAGGTTTAGATAAGTATTAGGGCTATTAACAAGTTAATCCTTATGCCAAACCCACGCCAGCGCAGCACGTCTTGCGCCTGTGTAGAGCGGGGAAAACATTTAAACGGCGTTACTGTCAAATGTATTTACCCTTGTTCGGATACATTACCTATTTCTTAAATAATTGTCCATTTCATAAAATTTCTTTTGAATAAAAGTAGTGACACAGAAAAGGAGGTAGAACATATTTATTTTCCAAATTCTGCAACACGTATGATTGAATGACGCCCATAACTACATATGTTTAAGGCATAAGGTTTAAATTGCCAGATTCCTAACTTCTAATCACATTTATTATTCGAAAAACTCATTATTGTACGCGAAAATAAAATAACGCAAGTTAAAATAAATGTACTATGTTTAAATGTTCATTATAATTTCAATTAATTTCTGTCGTCTTTTATTGTCAATAACTCTATTCAATATAATTATTATAACATAATTATACTCTGTATCTCGTTATAAGCGAACTATATGTAAATTATTATTCTGAGAAATAAATGTATTTCAACCGATTAAAAACATATTTAATTTCTTTTTAATCCTCTCTGTAACTGTAGAGTTTCAAAGCAAAATTAACGACTAATAGATATTGACTCAGCGTAGTTATGATGCAGTCTCGCACTAAAATAAATTAAAAAACAATTACAATTATCAGCATTGACAATTCCTATATTATTTTCAGCTCTCCTCCCCGAAAACGATAACTCTATCAAAAAGTATCTTACACGACCGTCCACGAAATCGTGACGTCTCTGGTGTTACTATTATCACCAGGTGGCTGTAAGCTTTGTTGTTGTTGCTATTCCTACCAAGAAAATAATAATAATAAAAAGACTGATTTTGAAAACAAAATCATTATATATATATGTAAATGAAGCTCTCTAATCTTCTTTTAAATTTGAATTCCCCGCGCCTTTATATTCAATCACGCTGTCTGTGAACAGCAAGTGAAAAATTTTTCACACACAATCATAGAGTAGTACAGGCTTACTGCCCACAGATAGCGTATCAATCCAAGACGCAGGAAATTCAAATTTAAATGAAGAACAGAAAGCTTAATTTACATAACATATATATAACGTCGTGGTGGCCCGGAGGTTTAAGACGCCCACTACTCATGCATGAGGGTGCGGGTTCGAAACCTACCAACGGCAAGTACCAATGTGACTTTTTCCGAGTTATATGTACTTTCTAAGATTATTTAGACACCACTGACAAACGGTGAAGGAAAAACATCGCGAGGAAACCTGGACTTATAATAAACTTATAATTTCTAATTATAAGTTTGAAATCGCCAACCCGCATTGAGCAAGCGTGGTGATTAACGCTCTAACCTTCTCCGTGTGAGAAGAGGCTTTGCTCAGCAGTGGGCATTTATAGGCTGTTGATGATATATAAATAAGAATAAGTGGTACGTAACCACAAGGAAGTTAAAAAAGCGGACACAACCTATTGAAACAACGACTGTGGCAACTATAGACATACATACATTGACACGAAGGACATCTGTCATTTTCGTAAATTTGGTAACGTGGTAACCTATTACACACACACACACACACTTAAAAACCACTGACATTTTGGTGCTTCAATCATTTCTAAGTGACATGTATTTTTTCAATGTCCTTTCTTAACCAACAACTGATAGGTTGAAAGTCCGATACCACAAACTCATTACTAAACATAAATTGTACAATGGAGATATATATAATTTTACTCACCATTATTTCCTGTTATCTGCTGATGGAAGTATCACCCGATTTTTATAGTCCCGGAATATTCCAAACTATGTTGGAAATCCGCGTCAAAAAAATTTCAGGTTTAATAAAATGAGGTAGGTCTGAGAGCCGCGAGCTCTTGATCTATTAGGGTATATTATTGATGGTTGCGAGCAAATAGTTTATTTATGGTTAGTGGTTAGACTACAAAGCGAGTTGGTAGCCAAATCTATAAAACATTAATAAAACTTTTTATAATATTTCTATTCGCACCATTTTTACACAGCAGTTGGCCATAGGTTTAAGTGGAAGACAGATGTTCAGGACATAATACACTATACTTTTACTTTGTGATATTACAGTCAAGGGAGAAAGTACGTTGAATCAATAAATGTAATAATGTGTTATGTTATTTATGTCATACATGAATGCGCCGGCTCGATCAGGTTGATATCACTGCCTCACAGAAGACCGTAAGGTAACTGGAGGCCCAATTTACCTTCTTCCCAAGCCCCGAATACCCAATTCTCAAAACATTATTCCCTCAAAAGATCGGTAATGCACTGGTTACTCCTCTGGCGTTTCAGGTTCCCTTGGGCGGTGCCTACTGCATCAAGATCAGATGATCAATCTACTCGTTTGCCAGTATATCCCATTAAATGACACCAATAATATAGAACTGCAGAGTCAGTGAAAGCTTTTTGTATAAATATGTTTTCTATATATTAAGTTTTTTTTTTAATTCCATGGTTGACGTTTAGCCACTATCTTGCTTGATGGTAAGCGATGATGCGGCCTTCGATTGAGCATGTCTCCCCATAAGGAAACTATTTATTCGGACCTTGAAGATACTTGAATTCGTCACTACAGACTAAAAAACATCGTGAACTGTATAATAATAATGATACGTATTGAAAGCTGAAAAAGATAAACAAATCAAATATATTGATTTGGCTCACGAGGTTGTCGACATGTGGAATGTAGATACGGCTATCATTGTGCCGATAGTCGTATCGGCCAACGGGTTAATCCCTAATAGCCTCGACAACCACCTTAGGAGGCTAGCGTTAGGCAGTTGGGTCAAGGGCCTGATACAGAAGGCAGTTCTCCTTGAAACGGCGCGCATTGTGAGTTTCTGTCTCTGGAGCCCTAACCATAGGTAGCTTGGACCATGGTCTGGTACTGGTCGGCTCCTATTTTTTAATTATTATTTTTTTATAAGTAGTATTTAAAAATGTAATTTGTAGCGAATTTTAAATAAATATATGGAAATAATACTTACAAGTTTTTATGGAGAGCTGTCGCTCATAGCTATATGTATGGTGAGTTAAGATACACTGAGTTCCAGTATAACTTAATATAAAAAATCCGAGAAGAAATATTGAATTTGCGTTAGCGCAGCGAAGTGAAAAATACAATTAGGAAAAACTGAAACAACAGTATGCGTTCGTTAATTCATAGTATTATCTGTTAGTAATGGATATTCCGTGTAGAGCGAGCAGCACCTGAAATTTCCGAGACACTCGATCGATACTGTAACGCACTACGTGTGATTTTACTTTATAAAACTGAAATATTCGAACTTGATGAATATTGACCAGTGTATAATGTCATGGAAATATTTGAATATCGAATAAAACTATGAACGTCATTATACCTAGGCAAATCAAACCATAACGGCAGAGGAGAATCGACCACATTAATTTAAACTTTTTACTGGTGTCGTAAGTTTGGAATGTAGGATTACATCTATTACGTATAATAATAA